GCCTCAAGACGCTCAGCTTATCGATGAAGTCGCGTTGCGTCGAGGTAATCCTCAACCGTGGTGCCATGACGCACTATTAATGCTAAATACGGCGATCTAATAGATTTTCTTCGTGGATTTCATGCCCCTTGTCTTTTACCGATGTCGCGGTGAGAAATGGCTTTTTTAGACATGGGTTTGGCACACACACAGTTTTACACCGATCGACTTCAAAATTTAAGAGCTGTTGCGCCATCCACTTATCTAAGTCCTGTCAAAGCCATGAGCCGCGCCGAGGTTATATAGTCTTTGTACAAAAATAGTTATAGAGTGTCTTATACCGATGGCGAGCAGTGTACTACGTGATAGGACATTGAGCGCATCCGCGCCGAGCTCGGGGACAATGTGCGAACGCGCGTGCGCCGGGCAATGGAGTCGATCAAGGAGCAACTACCGTCGGCCTTTGACAGCGCTGCGACGACCGCCGTCGGCACGGTGTGCTGCATTGCGTGCAGTCGCCCCGTGCGATTCGACGTCTCGACCGGCGGTACTAGCATGATCGACACGAGCATACGGAACGCTCCTGCCTCTTAGATGTGGTCCGCGAGGTGCCGGGCGACATGCCCCACCACGACGATGAGGTGCGATGTGCCACGAAATGAAAATCTCAAGTTTAGTAGGAGGCAGGAGACCGGGACGATCCGGAATTTGTATACCGCGCCGGCTTTCGAATGCCCGTCAACGACAAGTATTACATGGATGTCGACAAGGTCTAGGGCTGATGTGGCGATCGGTAGGAAAAACATCCTGCCGCTGCTCGTGTCCCCGCGGCTGCCGGCCAAAGGCCGCATTGAGAAGCCCAAAGGCAGACGACTTGTCAAGAAAGATACCAATCGCGTCGACTCGCTCCTCCGAGAGGTCGTGATTATATGCAATAGTTCCTGCGTTCTAATCTTTGGTCCGGATTAGGTCGACGAGTTGGATCAGTCGGCGATGACGATGAGTGATCGACCGACCAAGTCCATGGATAAGAAGGCGATTGAGGCGAGGAGGCCCGTTGCGCCCGCACGGCCCTGATCTGTGTACAAAATAACAACGACCAACATGATCATGTTGTCGCGCACGGATGGGTCATTCATTACCGGTATATGTACCCTTGGATGGTCCTCCCACACATTGCGCATCACGGACCCATCACGGAACTTATCAACCAGAAGAAGAGTTGTGCTCCAGCTACGGAGGTATGCTGTTGCACTAGCCTCTACGCGGGCCATTAAACTCGGCGACTTGCAGTGGAAGAGCATCTGCGGAAGAACCCCTGCATGGAGCGTTCAACACATGCGTTTGACTGGTGACAAGGCAAGTTAAATTGCAGGTTGGATATACTACGCTTCTAGAATTGATATGTAGGATTCGTCAGGCAGAAATCTCTTGGAACTCATCGATCGAGGTTGTCCCCGATACTCCCATAATATTTAGGTAATCACTCGAATCCGTAGTTCTACTGAGTTCTACTCATTTGACCGTCGACTATGCACAACGATTATTCTGGACTGACCCAGTTGAAGCCGAAGCATTGCTCAGCAGTTGCGCTGCACCAGTCGTTTGGTTTGAGCGCGCCCATTGGCGGGCTTAATCCCGGAAGATTTCCGGAGTCGGGCAAGGGCGCGTATTGGCCGAAATCCAACCAATAAAATGCACCTAGGGGTCTCGCTAAAGTACGGTTGTCACTTGGGTTGCCGTTGGCAGCTGGATCTGCCTATTCGCAACGAACTAAATGCACACAGATTTTTAGGACCCCACGCTACGTTGATGTGGTTGCACCTATCCAGGAACGCCGCGCAAGCTAGGTTCATACCCGCGCACAACAAAGATACATGATGACTATAGCCAAAATACAGAAAGGTCCCGCCTGCATCATCGGTGGGCACTTGGGGCGAGGTTAAGTCGCGTGGGATTAGAGTTTTTGTGAAATCGCTCGGACTTCGTGTGAATTTGGTGAAAACAGCGCAGCGCTCGTATCCGACGTCACTTTGCCTTTGGCTGAATCCAAGAAAGATCACAATTATGTCGTCGATTGATGCGCGTCTTGCGGAACTCGGGTACGTCCTCCCGGAGGTGACGACGCCCAAGGGCAACTACAAGCTTGCGGTGCGCTCGGGCAACCAGATCTTCACGGCTGGCCACATCCCGACGAACGCCAACGGCGAGCTCATCACGGGCAAGGTCGGCCAGGACGTCACGATCGAAGCTGCGTACGAGGCTGCGCACTTTGTGGCGCTCTCGCTCCTCGCGACGATCAAGGCGGAGCTCGGCGGCGACCTCAGCAAGGTCAAGCGCATCGTCAAGACGATGGGCTTTGTCAACTGCGTCGATGGCTTTGCGCAACAGGCGTCGGTGATTAACGGCTGCTCCGACACGTTCGCCAAGGTCTTTGGTGACCACGGCGTCGGCGCCCGCTCGGCTGTCGGCACGAACGCGCTCCCGCTCAATGTCCCCGTCGAGATTGAGATCATTGTTGAGATTGAGGCGTAAGCAAAAGCATTTTACATCGCTGTCTTTTTGAACTCGGGATTGCATTGCCTTCCATGGTGGCGCTGGCCACAGGAATGATCCCCCACCGTGCACCATCATGGCGCATGCACGCCTTGGGTGTACCTGTTGGGCTGGTGGGCTACATATTTTCAAGCTATCACTCGGGGGCTCATAAACTGGAGCTGCGACGCGTAGCTGCAGGAGTGGTCTCACAGTAGACAACCGCTCGGGCAAGCGTGCGTCGTGGTGCGCGCCTGTCGCGATCTTCCGGCAGTGTTTGAGGGCGTGGCAGTAACCGCGGGCATCTGGTACGCCCTCTGCCTCGGCCAATGCGTTTTAATGGGCCCCTACCGTGCCACTGGAGCTTGGTCCATTGAAATTCAACTCATTTGCTACAAAAGCAGGTATATTTTAATTCTTTGAATCTCACGTTGGCGTCGGATGTTCTTTATTTTATTAGTAGGACCCCGACGGGGTTTCGAAGCTTTCATTCGTTCGCAAGACTTTTCATTGCGATGCACCCGGAAGGACCTGGCCCGATGGACGAGCTGGACCGCGAGCTCGAGACGCTGCAGCACAAGGCCATGAGCGATGGCTCGGACGAAGACCTCCTCACGGACGTCGGCTTCATGTTTGACGACTGCCTTGAAAAGGTCACGTGCGAGTTCACGTATGGTACGAGCTCCAGCGGCGCGCCGCGCGTCAGCGTCATGCTGAGCTACGTGCAGGACAACCCGGGCTTTGTGCAGTCGGGACACTACGTGTGGCCAGCCGCGCCTGCGCTCTGCGAGTATATGGTGTCGAACTTTGAGTCGCTGCCGCGCGGCAACGTGCTCGAGCTTGGTGCGGGCTGCGGCCTCGCGGGCCTCGTCTTCGCGCAGCTGGACCCGGCGTCGCGCATCATTTTTACGGACCACGATCCCGGCGTCCTCAAGACGATCGAGCACAACGTGACGATGCAAACGCACCGCGCGCAAGCCACGTGCCACACCCAGAGTCTGCGGTGGGGGCCCGAAGGCGCCAACGAGATTGAGGCCATCGAGCGCGTCCAGAGCGGTCAGCGCGCGACCGATCTCATTGTCGGTACGGACGTTATCTACGCGCGCGAGATTGTGAGCTTGCTCTTCTGGACCATCGACCAGCTTCTGGCCTCAAGCGGGCTCTTTCTCATGTGCTCGAGCTTTTGCTACGACGACGAAACCGAGGCCGAGATCGATGTCATGTGCACGCAGTACAAGCTGTCGCGCCGAATCATCTCGTGCGCGCTTCCGACCGGCACGCGCATTCAAGTCTTTACGCGTCAATAGATTTTAACCTCGTCAACGGAAAGTATAGCCACGACTCTACTTTAGTGCTGCGCAAACTGGTACAACTTGTGCTCTTGGATGTACGCGAGCACTTGGGGGAAGAGAAGCCGACGCAGCTCGTCGTCCGACGTTGCAGTCCGCGCCAGCGTCGAGGACGAGTCGTCCAAGATCGGGACACGCACGTACGAGACGCGATCGGTCGTCGGAGTGTCCAGGGCGACGCCTTCGCGGGCAATCACCACGATGCGAACAGCGTCGAGGAGGCGCAGACCTCCTTTCCACTTGCCTTGGATGAGGTCGTTGTACGTGTCGGCGCCGAGCAGGAGCGAAAACTCAACGTCCGGGTGCTGCGCCTGTAAATGCGTCACAATGTCGATCGACCCAATTCGGATCGAACTCGGGTCCACGGTCGTGTCTTCAAGCGCGAGGTCCCACACGTCCTTCTCCGTTTCCTTGACGCACGCTTTGTGCGCTACAAAGACATGAGACATTGGCGCTAGAAGAGGCTGCGTACGCTGGCTCAGCGACTGAAAGGCGAGGCGCAGCAGGTTGCGTCGGTGCTCGAACGGCGCGAGGTTGCGCTTGCTGCTGTAGATGTGCTGGTACACGGGCAGCACCCACACTTGGTCGAACTGCGACGAGAAGAACTCGACGATGCCCGTGTGGCCGCCCATGCCACAGGGCGGGTTCGCCGACGTCCCGTATAGCAGGACGCGCATGTTGTCACTTGTCGCCTTGTCGAAAGTGCAAACAACGAAAATGGCGGCAGCCTTATCCGGATAATCGAGCATGTACGGATACTGAAAATCCACACCGCCGAGCATACACGATTTATGGTGTACAATATTTAGTGTGTATAATTTACGTAAACACAAGCAATAGTGTATCATACAGTATATCCGGTGACTCAAAACTTGCATTTCGGCGGCAAAGGACATGGCGAGCGCCAAGCTGCGACGGGTGTTCCTCCCGACGCTGGACCGGCGCGTGGCCCGTGCGAGCATGCAGATCTACAGCGCGACGGCTATGACCGGTATGTACATCAGCCGCGCCGATATTGAAGAGCAGTGGATTGTCGTATCCAACCCCAGCGCGTACGACATCGACCTCTCGGGCTACACACTAGCCAACGAGAATGGCACGCGCATCTTCCGCTTCCCGCGCCACTACATCATCTTCGCCGGCGAAGAGACTACCGTGTGGTGCACGCCCGGCGCGACGGCTTTTAACCCACGCGCTCTCCGCGAGCCGTACCTGCTCTGGACGCAGCCAAACGGGTCCTTGGCCCACACGCCCTTTTTCAACCACAAGGACGCACAACACGACGTCTTGCTCCTGGACCCGTACTTGTCAGAGGTCGCGTCGCTACAGATCACAGCATCCGGGCACAAGACGTTCCGCGTCCGGCAATGTCGCGCGCCCGCCGACGGCGCTTACGTCTTTGCCCGGTACAGCAACGTCGCGTCGGATGCGTCGTCCTTGGCCCACGTCGTCGCTGTTGTTATCACCCCCGTGGTACGCTCCATCAATGAATGGAGATCTTTGCTCACGGTTTGCTTGCTTGCTTCTAGTTGGAGATGGGTCGCCTCTGGCTCCTCATGACGCTGCTGCTGCAAGTGCATTGGGTTCCGGCCTCGACGGAGCCGCACCTGCTTGTGTACGCATTTGTATGCGATATTGCGGCCCGAGTAGCGAGTCTCTTTCTCCAACACGCCTCGCTGGCCTCGTTCCTCGCGCAAACGTCCATGGGCATTGACCAGCTTCACGTCGTCGTCGTCTACCTCGCCTTGTCGACCGCGTATCCCGCAATATCCATCTTCCGCACGCTCATGACCGCCGAGCTCACGGCGAACTTTGTGGGCCTTCTGGGCGCGGACCGCGTCGCGCAGCAGTCGCGCTGGCACCCGATGCACATGATGCTTGAGGGCGCGATCTACATCCACCCGCTCATCTTTGCGGGGTGCTACCTCGCCAAGGAAAGTCTGGTGTACATGCTCTTCCTCAAGGCGACGCTGCCATCGACTACCATTGCCATGCACGCGCTCATCTATCTCTGCGTGCCGCTCTTCGCCGTGAGCACCGCCATTTCGATCGCGCGCGGCGCCACGGTGGCTCTGCACCTTGCCGACTTGACCTTAGCTCGTCTGCGGTACGGTCCGCCATAAGAGAGTTTGTTGGCGTGTACAACATTCCTTAACAAACCAGAGACAAACCCGATAAGAAAGACCTCGCTTTCGGTCGCAAGGTCGTCGTATTACAAGTATAGAGGCGGTGGGATGGCCGCGGTAGGGAGGGCGCCTAGAAGGCACTGCCTTCGGGGTGCTGCGGAAGGCGCTTGTTGGCAGGCGACGCCATTTCGTTGCGCAGAGAGACCAAGACCTGCTCGATGCCCGAATTGCGGTTCCACGACGCCAGCACACCTACAAGACGCAGCACGTTGAGTACGCAAATATCGCAAGCGTACGTGTGTACCGATACGACGGGGGTCCACGCGGCCGTTTGACTGGTCGACGCACGACATGTTGATGCGGCTTGTAAAATAGACGTCCGGCGGCTGGTTCGGGTAGTGCTCGCCGCAGTGGATCTTCAAGCTGTAAATACGGCCATCATGGCACGTCTAGTGCAAGCATTAGGAATGAGTGGCGAGACGACGCGTACGCCAGCAGGGCCAAGAATCGTGCCGATCCAGCTCGTGAGGAAGATGTCGTCCGCCTGCTCGAGGCCGTAGCTGATGCTCATGTCGCCGTGGCCCTTCTCGGCGCTCTCGAGCTCCTCCAAGAGCTTAAAGTTGCGCGGAACTAGGGCGCATGGCATTAGCACCGACGAGGGAAGCATGGACGGCGGCCTCGGCGCAGGCCGTCGGCGCGGGCAACGTACTGATCACGACTTCGGCTCCAGACTTCGCCATCATCTTCCTGACGTCGCAAATTCGGCTTGTGGCGTTTTTTCTTTGGCGAAGCTGGGGTGTTTTTAATCACACCATCAGACACGGCGATTGGCTATCGCATTGGCTTTTTAGCCAATCAATGAAGTTTCCACGAAGTGCATTCTCTGCAGGCGCGCTTCCGCAACGAGCCTTCGTCTCCCCATGGAAGCAGAGAAGTCCCCGTGACCATTGCAGGCAAAGCTCATGCTTTCGACTCACTTTGTAGTCAGCAATGCCCTCTATAGTATTTATAGGTCCCATCCTGTTGCTTTAACGCGACGAGTTTGGAAGAATTACTCTCTCCGGACGCGATCGCCTCGTGGCGTTGGTACAGGGAGCCCAGAATTGATCGAGTGCGTTCTTCCTGGGATCTAATTTGCCCGATATACGCTTATCGAACGGTGCATATCACTAGGATGACGCAGGGTGAGGCAGTGGGCCCAATGGTGTTTGCTCTGCTTGTAAGCACGTGCCAGCGTTGTCGTTGGCTCGCCACGAAGCGCCTGCCACCCAGACCACAATGTCATCGCTGCTAACTGTGCTCATGGCGCCCGTTGCGCGTTATGCTTTGCTTTTGCCATGTTCGGTTGACTTCTGAAACCGGATGGCTCATTTGACTTGGTGGTTGCAACTGACGCGGTTGAGCCCCGACTAACCGCCAAAGATCGCCATGGGTCCACACGGTAGGCTAATGAACATCGTTCCATCGCCGTCGCCATTGCGATCAGAGACGCATGCGATTCGACGTGCCGTGGATTGCTTGTCATAGCACTAGCGGCCAATCCGTCGACATGATCGCCGACATGGAGACGTCCAGCTCAAGCACGCATTGGTCTTTGTCAAGCTCCAGCGCAACGTACTCAAGATACATGTACACCTTAACATTCCGCGCGAGTTCATTACCCATGAGAGCGTTATTCAGTGCCAAGATCATGACAGACCTTAAGTGTTTTCTCCACATGCGCGATAACTAGGCTAAGAGGAGACAACCATGGAGAGACAAAAACACAGTGGCGCGAGGAAAAACTGTAGCAACGACTACGACGCCGAGCCCAAATCGATTAATGATATCATGAAGCGCGACGTGACATAGCATGTTCGACCATAGCTTGTCAACGACATCCCTCGTTGCTGCCACGTTTTACCTTGTGCACGCGATTCTTGCCATCGCATCCGTACACTGGTAACCACTCTGCCTGCGCGAGGTGTCATTACGCTAGCACCTCTGCCACTCGCTCTCAGATGGCGAATCCGTTAAAGCTGCATCGAGCAATGTGTCAATGGTTTCCCGCCATCGCATCGTCTTCGACGGTCGACTCGCCTTCTCCCTCCCGCTATGGATACCTTCGAGGGCCTTTTTGGCCAATCAAACGCGTCTGCACTGGACAAATTCGATAGAATGTCGGTCGTTTGATGGTATTTTATTGGTTTCGTCGGCCCTCTTGGCAAATAATTTCGAGGTGATCGAACCATTGAACTTTACATTTGTATGCCAAGAATAAAAATGCGCGTTGGATTGTAACTGGCTACGACGACCAGAAAAAAGGAAGAAATATAAATTTTTCCAGTTGGCGATTTTTGACGATAGCCGGAAGCAGCATCATGATGCCAATGGAGACGACGACGACGCACCCTGCCTCGACCAAGGCCGCGGTGAGCACGACGGTCATGACGGCCGCCGAGTACGGCAAGCTGCCGCCTCTGAACCCTGACGACCTCAAGGCGCCGCCGCCGCCGCCGAGCGCAGCGGCCAAGGTCACGAACTCGGACGACGCTATGTCGCTCGGCGAGGTCTGGGAAGAGATCAAGGGCAAGCTCTCGGAGGTCGTTATGGGCTCGTCGGTCTCGGGCATCCTCAGCGTCATCCGCATCTTCAACCTCGTGCTCGCGGGCCTTATGATCACGATCTGTATCCTCGAGATGATCAACAGCCCCAACTTTTCGAGCGCCGTCAGCAACATCATGGCCGTCATCTACACCATGTATGTCCGCATGGTCGGCTGATATGACTCATGTGCGCGTGTGTAGCATGTTTGCGCTCATCTTGGTGGCCTACGAGACGCGTACGCAGTCGTTTGACGAGTTTCTTCGCGCCAACTATGGCTTTATGTACAACCCGTGGGGTCGCTGCTTGTTTTTGGCCATGATCTCGATCTTCCCGTTTGGCATGTTCAGCCCATACGGCTGGATGGTCTCGGTCGCGGGCTTTATCAACGCCTACTTCAACTACTTTGTTATCACGCAGGTACAAGAACGACGTCGAGATATCGCCCTTTGTAGGCTCATTCCTCATATGTAGCACCCTTCGTTCACGCGCGGTGTTCCGGACTACGTCCCGCCCTCGGTCGACACGACGGTCTAGACCTCGGGCTTGAACATTCTATTGGCGTAGTGCTTTCAAGCGCAGCCAAATATCATATTGATTCATTTCCGCTGGATCATTCCTTGAGCGTTGTCCAGACGAGAGGCCACGTCAGTTGCCTCCATACTTGGTTCCGTTGACAAGTGACATGGTGGGCAGACTCAGGCATCTCACTGACGACCGTGGGGTGCATCTTGAGTCAACGAGCCTCGTCCGCGCACGGAGAGTAGGCTTTGCTTCGTAGCCGTTTGTGAGATTGCCCATACCTGTAGTACGCTGTGCATAGAGCTGTAGCACCTCTCGGCTCTGCCAGCCGTGGTCTACTACGCAGTCCTTGACTGCTGCAGATGGCAGCATGGGAGCCACGGGAGCTGCGTTGCCAGCTTGCGTGGAAATAGCCATCCGGATACAGGGTTCGAAATTCGAAGGGTATCTTCAAGCAGGCCAGTCGTCAAGTGCAATCATGAAGACGACGGCGAAGCGCGCGCGGGCGTCACTCGAGGAGCTCGTCAACTACTTCTTCGGGCTCAAGAGCCGCGTTTGCGACGTCCCGATCTCGGTCGACTTTATCATTTGGCGCCAGAACCTCTCGCTCCTCTCGATGCAGTCGGTGCTGCTCAATGGCATGGTAGTCGTACTTTCCACATTCAATTCTTATCGGCTGATGGCCCACGGCATTAGCTCTACCACGAGTACCGCTTCTCGTTCTTTGTGTTTGCGTCCATTTGGGTCGGTCGGTCGTTCCATAACGCGCAGTACAACAAGAAGTTTGGGCCGCGTGGGATCCTCTCGCACCTCGAGAAGCCGATTAGCTTTCTCAAGATGAACTTCATCGTGAGCGTCATGCTCATCGCGTCGTTCATCTGCCTTTTGCGGTCCACGCACGACATGACCAACCTCGCGCTCACGGTCTTGCTGCCGTACGACATCCGCCTCGTCGACCGCACGCAACTCCATGCTGCGTAGGTGCACGTGCAGCGTCGCATTGGATCGCTGGCGCCTCGACCCGCGCTACAAGACGCTTCTTGCACTCCTTTACAGCCTCGAAAGTGCGTATTTTGTCTCGGTGGCGACGCTCGTCTTGGAGCGGGTACGCATCAATCGCGGTGCTTCGAGCTGCTCATCCACAACGCGGTAGAACCCGTACCTGATCTACGACGCACCATCGACGCGCGCCGTCATGTACACGGCAGCCTTCAACAATGTCATGGGCTTCTTTGCCCGGTACACGCGATCTCTCGTCGGTCTCCACCTCTGTACGAAGCCCACTAGGTACTTTATTGAGCACTACACGATCCGGCAAGTCCAAGCCCAAGAACTCCACGGCTGGAAGCAGCTCCGCGATACTGACGATGCGACCGACGCTCCGATGGCGTGGAGCCAAGGGACGTTGTACAAGGAGGCGGCGGTTGTGTCCCATGGCGGCAAGCACTGGATCGCCGTCGGTCGGCTGCATGGCAACATGGCCGAGCCCGGGTCGTGGCGCGACCGAGGGCATGTGCTCTTGTGGCTCAAACCATTCCGACTGCTGACGCTGCTCATGTTTCTGCAAATCTGCCATGTCGTTGTGACTGCCATCTATGCGCTTTGCAGCGATTCGTGGGTCATCATGGGGTGCGAAGGCATCGACAACGTAGTTTTGCTGACTCGCGTCTCATTCTAGGGGCATGGTGTTTGTGAACGCCGATTACATGCAGCTACTCCACTCGATCCGATTTGCTGTGCTTGGCAAGACAGCGCGCAACGTCATGATGACGCGCCAGACGACGGCGGCGTTGCCCGCGACGCTGCAGACCGTCATTGACCCGAACGTGATTGCCAATCAAACGATTAGCCACAGCGGTCTTCCCGCGCTCTAAGAAAACAAGCAAATTTCATGTTACATCTATTACTATCTTGATACTCGACGATCTTTTGGCGCAGCTACGCTCCCTCGTGCTCTAACGCAGCGAGATGGTCGGTCTTGACTTGGGCGCAGCAGGCCTTGTATGCATCGAGCTCCAACTTGCAGCGCTTCTCTTGGTAGTTGTTGCGCGCGAGACACCACTGGATCGCGCATGCCTTCTTCTGGCACGATGCTTGGAAGAGCGCGTCCCAGTTGACGTTGGCATCGCCTCGCGTCCCCTTGTGCACCTCGTCCATCTTCGGCCGGCTTCGCGAAATTGCACTTCCTCCGAAACTCAATGCAGCATATCTATATGTTTTCAAAGGCTCTTCCGGCGTCGAATGCGATTGGCCGAGAGGTGGTGGCGGTTTCAGCGACCTTTCGAGTCCAGCACCGCGCGTGACTCAAGCCGACACCAAGGCAGTCGCTTGCTCGGATGCATCAAGGTGTGCTACCTGCAGTCTGGGGTAGCTAGGTTGCGTGTGGCGCAAAGTTCGTCGATTTGATCGAGGCGTCAAAATCTACGTTCTCGTTGCACCAGCTCACAATCAGCGAACATGTTTGTCAACATTGAATCGTCTCAACGTCGTCAGACATTAACATGATCACTTGACTCCGAACTTGATGAATTGCGAAATCGCTTGACGTACTTGGCCTTGAGCTGCCCCAGAATATTGGCGTCGTCAGCGGTGTGCGTCTGAAGCGCCAGCTGGAGCAGCACGTAGTCGGCGAAAAGATCATTCTGCACGTCGTGCGCGCGAGCGAGGCTCTCCACGGCGCGCACCAGGGACGGTTCTGTGTCCGCCTTGCGCTTGGCTTGCTTGTGACGCTGAGCCTCAGTCGCTACATCCTCTTGGTCGTCACTACCTTCGTCGTGCTCGTTGCTTGCGTCTTCTTGCTCGCGATTCGTGTCACTGCTTTCTTGTCCTGACAGCACTTTGCTGTGACTTGCCTTGCCATAGCGCCATTTCTTGCATCCACGCAGCTCCAGCCACGTCTTTTCGTATTGGAACGGCTCGTGCTCGAGCGACACATGCAGCGCACGCGCGTCCTTGAGGTACTCGTCGTCGGTCTTGCGCTCGGTGGAGCAACTTTGCACTTGATCGACGCAGTCTGCAAACTTGTGCGATAGCCGGTTGAGGATGCTCCAGCGGTTCTTGATCGCTTGCTGCGTCCGCGCGCTGGAGCTTCCTGCGGTCCAATGCGTGTGGACATTAGCCCAAAAGGTGTCAGTCGACGCGTCTTCGCCCTTGACAGAGTCGTCCTCGGCGACGTGGACCCACGACCGAGCCAGTTGAACGTCCTCGGCCGACGACCACTTGGTTCCTTTGCCCATGGCCTTTTAACAACTGGACGCCAAGAACAGCCGATTAGAAACGTGCGGCGGCGAATAGTGTGCAACTCGTAAATAGAGTGCTAAAATAGAAACGCGTGCCGTGAAATACTGTTTGGCGTTGCCAATGGACCCATTATGGAGTCAAGTGTCTGTGCTTCAAAGGACGGCCCTCCGACGAGGTCGTCGTACGTTCAAGTGGTTGTTAAAAGCGCGTGCTGCGTTTAGCTGTGGTCTTCGACTGTATACGACGTCAAGCTGAAGACCGTCGGCCCCGTGGCGTTGATCTTGTGCTCGGGCTGGTGCAGCACAATCGCATTGACGTGGCCCGCATCTTGCTTCTACGAACAACTCGATGAGACACGTGGCAAAGAGTATCGACGTACGTGGACTTTGGACGAGGACACGACGCAGCCACACTCGACGACCTCGGCGCCGAGCTGCTGCATGAGCTGGCACGTGACCAGCAGCGTGTTGCCCTATGCACAGCGCGAGGATGTGAGCAATGTCGCCAGAGCACGCTATGGTACCGTGGCGACGAGATCATCGATGAGGACGACGCGGCTGCCCTTGGGGATTGCGTCGTCATGCACTTCGAAGCGACCGTGGTAAAAGCCCGACGTGTAGTCGATCCCAATGACGTGGCCCGGCAGCTTGCGCGCGCGGCGAACGGGCACGAATGCGCCTACACACATGCTCATCCAGGACGGGCTCGCAGGAGGTTGTATCGTACACTTCAATGCGAGCGCGAGCGGCGCCCCAAAGATGAAGCCGCGCGACTCGCAGCTCACAACATGCGTGATACCCTTGTCCTTGTAGCGCTGGAGAAAGGCGTCGATCGTGATCTGGAAGGCCTCGGGGTCGAGCACGAGCGTCGTCACGTCCCTAGCCATCGCCTGAGCCAAGGCGCCTCCTGCCCAGCGTACCAGAAGTCCGAGCCGGGCTTGGGAAAGTCCGGGATCGTGCGGATCTTGGTCTTGAGGTAGTTGGAGAGCGCTTCGGGGTCGGCGAGGAGCGCGGCCGTCGATGCCATGTTGCAGCGTTGGTGCCAATGCAAAAATCCAGAAAACTGTGGGAATGCATTCACGCGCCGGTATTCAAAGATACAGGTTTGCCGTTTCCGACAGCATGAATGTCGTTCACGCTGCGAGGGTAGGTCAAGACAGCACAGTCGTGGACCTCCTGCAGCAGCGACGCCGTGGTCACCAGGGTGCTTGTAGCAGCAGCAGCAGAATCCGATGCCAGTTGAAATGAGTCCTTCGATGCTCGGCGTGCGTCGTTATCCGGATGCGATCTTTTGTCGAAGGATGCGCACTTTCTAATATTCGGATGGGCGTCGGTGACGTCTCTGGCCGCGTCGCGCTCATCACGGGCATCACGGGCCAAGACGGGAGCTACCTCGCGGAGCTGCTCCTCTCCAAGGGCTACACCGTCCACGGGCTCATCCGGCGCAGCAGCTCGTTCAACACGGGCCGTATCGATCATTTGTACAAGGACCCGCACCTCCAGGGCGTGCGGCTCTACTTGCATTACGGCGACTTGGCCGACGCCGGGAACCTCTGCGCGCTTCTAGCGCGCATCCAACCCCACGAGGTGTACAACCTCGGGGCCATGTCCCACGTCCGCGTCTCGTTCGAGATGCCAGAGTACACGGCCGACGTCGACGGCGTCGGCACTCTCCGACTTCTCAATGCGATCCGATCGTGCGGCCGCGCCGACACGCGGTACGCAGTTGACAACAACTTCTCTTCTCTGGCTCAGTGTCGAGTAGCTTTTACCAAGCGTCGACGTCCGAGCTCTACGGCAAGGTGGTCGCGACACCGCAGAACGAAGCGACACCGTTCTACCCGCGGTCCCCGTACGCGATCGCCAAGCAGTTTGCCTACTGGACCGTCGTCAACTACCGCGAGGCGTACGGGCTTTTTGGCGTCAATGGCATCCTCTTCAACCACGAAAGCCCACGGCGCGGCCCCACCTTTGTCACACGCAAGGTGCTACATCGCTCGTCATCTATCGATCGTTCAAGTCGAGTGCGTAGATCACGCGGGGCGTCGCACGCATCGCGGCAGGACTCGAGTCGTGCTTGTACATGGGCAACCTCGACGCGCGCCGTGACTGGGGCCACGCACGGGACTACGTCGATTGCATGTGGCGCATGCTCCAAGCCAATGCGCCAGAGGTACACTACTATCAATCTATCAATCTATATATCTGGTAGGATCTTCGAGCGTGGTCGTGTAGGACTATGTCGTTGCGACGGGCGAGTGCCACAGCGTGCGCGAGTTTCTCGAGCTTGCGTTTGCATACGTGAGTTTGCCGCTGACGTGGCGCGGCGAGCGCGGCAGCGTCGACGAGGTCGGAGTCCTCGTCAACGCCCCCGGCACCGTCGTCGTGCAAATCGACCGCAAGTATTTTCGTCCCACCGAAGTCGACTTGCTCTGCGGCGACGCCAGGAAGGCGCGCGACTGCCTCGGGTGGACACCAAGCATCAAGTTCGTCGACCTCGTACGCGAGATGGTCGACGCGGACGTCGCGCTCCTTCGGTCCGCCTCGGTGTCGTTTTAACATTTTGAACAAGAGATTTACTAGTACTAGTATGAATTTGCAGCAGCAGCATTGCAATCGACTCGAGCTGGTGAAGCGATAGAAAGGAGCAGGAAGGACATGGTGCTGTGTGTCCGAGAGACAGACAGAAACAATTGCGGGCAAACCAGTCAGAGGCGTGATAATAGCCCTCGAAAGAGTCATCGCACTGCACAGGACTTGGTATTCCTTCTCACGCCCAGTCATTGTCACGAATCGAGCCAAAAAGCAAGTCCTGCGACATGGCCAATTTTAAACTTGATTGTAGTATACATTTCTACACAGCATCAGGGTTTCCACAAAACTCCGGTGATTCTTCGGTTATTCAACGCACGACTACCAATGCGAACGCATGACGAAGTAGCGCCGACGAGGTACCCGGCGTCCGTCAAGCCAGCCACCAAAAGAGTCACGATTTGGGGGTAGCCGCAGACGCCGATTTGGACGACCTTGGAGTCGTGGAGGTGCTCGTGCATGTAGGCCTTGAGCGGCCGGACCAACTGCGCGCACGCAGCATCTTCGTAGAAATTGCCGAGCGCATCGCACCCCTCTTCATAGTTGCGGTCGTAAAGTAGACGTTGCACCGATCGTGCGACGAGCACGTGCCGGCATGGACGCGGTGGAGCACGCAAAATCGACCCCAGTCCTACGGATCGGACACGGACTCGTTCGCTTCATAATTGTCGTCTTCTATGAGCGTCGCCAGGCGCTCGGGTAAGGTACACTGGTGAAATCACTCAGTGTCAATGTTGAGCCAATGCGCCATAAGACTGTTGCCGAGACCTAGTTCAACAGCAGATGTGTGAGCCTCACACCCATCCATGTGTGTCGCTCGTACGCGTGTTGTTTTTCGAGTAGACGAGTCCGTCGTCGTCAAAGATAGCGGCCACATCTGACCGCCCCCACGTCGTCTTGCCAATGAGCACGCCGTGCTTGAAGAGAATCGGCTGGAGGTAGTAGTACTATTGGGCGGATATCTCATTGGTATAGTCCCCAAACTCGGGCTTGAGGCGCTCGAGCCATGCCCCGATGCGCTTACGGTGTCGCAGTGCCGTGTACAGCGCGCGACATCACTGGCCGTAGCCGCCGCCACCAAGTGCTCGCGGTAGCGCGAATCGTCATCATCATTGGGCACCGGCACCGGCCCGAGGTACCCGTTGTTGACAAGGCGTTTGTGCAGCGACGTCACAATGTACTTTTGGTCGGACGATGCGCACTCGCTGAGGCCGATCCAATCTGCATCGACCAAGTCCAGATCCAGGACCGAGTACAAGTCGGGGCAGAGGTGCACGCAGTGGTCCGAGTTGCTCGCAATGAGCTGAAGAAGCGGCGGCGACGTCAATACCGCCATCGCTACGTCCTCGATGCGGCATGCACGCTTCTTCTTGCTGTGATTTCCCATGAGGTGTACCGTCACCAAATACAATAATGCGGCAATGGAATCGCTCGCTCCAAGGGACGGAATGAAGATGATACTTGAGTGATGGTTGGCAGACTTCAACACTGCTAGGGACAGGACACAAACCATCCATTCCCATTTCATGGCCTGGACTATACAAATGGGTGTCGACACAGCTGATGTCCATGGCTGATGTCGAGGCCATATCACGTTCACAGACCAGTGACACCCTACGCACTTCACTTCCCACGACACGTGCTGCCCCACGACGGCAGTCGTGAATCCTTCAAGGTCTCAACTTGATATCAACGTTTTGATCCAAAATTTGTCGATTTGGTAATAGAAATAGTAAATTCGCTGGTGATGTGGTTTCCAATGTGTTCCTATACAGAGTCTATGGCCGAAGGACGCCATGGATGTACTTGCCGGCGCCAAGCGTGGGCTCCTCGCGTCACGACTTGGCGCTCTCCCGCGCTCCTGTGCCGAGCTGACACCTTGCTTTCACGCGCTTGTAGTCGTCTTTCTTGACAAACGAGAGCGCGACGGGGCCCTGGACGCTCTCAAAGATGCGCTTGACCTCGATCAGCTCCTTGTCGTCGGCCGAGAGGCCGTTGATGGCCATGAGCACGTCGCCAATGTCAACGCCGCCGCACGCCGCCGCCTGCGACCGCTCGAGCACGCGGTTGACGACGACCACGTGGTCTTCGACTGCAAACTCGAAGCCGAGGGGCGCGTCGCCGTCGAGCTCGAGCTCCTGCAGTACGACGAGCGACTGTACGTACTCGATCGCGATCTCGAGGCACGTGACAAAGTACGCCGTCTCGCCTTGGTTGGCCATCGGCGTGAACGCGACGAGGAGGTCCTTGAGCGTCAAAATGTCTTCAATGTGGCACTGCACGACCACATAAATGAACGCCGGAATGAACGCGTCGGCGCTCATGGCGCCCTCCACCAAGTGCTCGGCGGCCGCGACAGCATAAATGGTCTTGCACGCTTGCACGAGTTTGGCGCGCTTGGTGTACGGCAGCGAGCACGCGTCGATTTCGTTCATGACGGCGACCGCGGCGGCGTACCCGGTCGGTGACACGGCCGTGATGCCAAAGTACACTTGTTTCTTGGCGCGTAAGAGCTCGAGCCGGTCTTGGAGAAACCGAACGTCCTTCTTCGTTTTGGTCATGAGCGACGTGTATACGATGCGGTGCAGCGGGTAAAAGACGCGCTCCTCGACTTGCTCGGAAATGATTTGTGCAATGAGTTCAAAGCTGCCGTCGTCGTGCGTGCTGTTGTTGGCATTCTCGTCGATGCCTGCGATCGCCCGGAACTCGTGCATGCGTGTCTGGATCATGTACTCGGTGAGCCCTTCGATAAAGTGCCGGATTGCGTCGAGGTGCATCGTCTTGGCCGACGTGTCTTTTAGAAATTTGGTGCTACCACGTATGTCATTTTTAAGGACCGGAAAAAGAAGGTACCTAGTCGTGCCCTCGGGCGAGTAGGGCGAGATCAGGATGAGCTGGGCCTCGCGCGCAATCTCGCGCGCAATGTCCACCTTGGACTGGGCCTCAGCGCCCACAACAACGTCCGAGTCAGTGTCGCTCATGCTGCTGCCAACGGACAGCGTCGGCGACGGGTGGTCGTCGATGATCGCGTCGCAGTCGAGCACGTCGTGCAGTTGGTTGTTGCTGCTGCTGCTGTGACGGCGCTTGTGCTGGTGGTGGCCGTCAATGGCCGCCGAGAGCGATGCGACCCAGATCATCAGATCTTCTTGCGAGTCGGCAAACACCGTGAGGACTCGGGACCGCTTCGCCGATGTGTTTTCGGTGATGCAAAAGCTGTGGCGCTCGCCCGTCTTGCGCGTATCAAAGAGGGCGACCGACGTGTTTGGGCCAATGCCGACGCTGCCTTTGGCTTTGACGACGTCGGGGCCGCGGTAGTACGTCAGCGCGCCGGATGTCAAGCGAAAGTAGCGCCGCTTGACCGACTTCATAAACTGACCTTGCTTGCGGAGCCAGCCGGCGTGCAAGAGCACATCGTTGTTGTCATGTGCCGAAGAGGTCGAAGACGCCGCCGGCCGCGCGGCCAGCAGCGTCACGTTGCTGCAATCGGCGAGCTTGCGGAGCCAGAGGTCGCGGTCGGCGTCGCAGGACGCGTACAACAACATTTCGTACGAGCCCTGGCGCAGTGTGAACCCATGGTTTGCGAGCTCACACGCCGACGTGGGCTTGCGCAAGTCAAATTTGCCAAGGACGTTGGCCGGCGCCGACTGATGCGAGTCGTGGTACACGAGCTCATGGCCCACGAGGCAAAAGAGTCGGCGCTTAAAGCTCCAGTTGCGATGTCCGCGCTTGATGAGCCAGCCAGAGTGATGCACGATCGGCTTGTATTCGTCTTTGATGACGGGCGCTGGCGTCGATGTGGCAGGAATCGAAAGGAGCGTGTGGGCGGCGTCGCTCCAGTCATCGTCGTCGTCGTCATCGACGTCGTGCGGCTGCTGCCACTCGGTCAGCGTCACGCGCTCCGTGTCGAGATGGCGCACAGACGCTTGCCGCTTGATGTCGAGCTTCTCTTGGAGGTGGATCGCGCGGAGGCTCGCCGTGCGCACCGACTCGACCGTGCGCTTCTTCCACTGGATGAGGTCCCTATAGTAATAGCATGAGCACGATAGACGAGAGTGAAGCAGCCTACGCATCAATGCTGGCAAAGCGCACGACCTGGCGAAAGGAGCGCGAGCTCGCAATGTCGAGCAGCGTCCGGCGCTGGCGCTCGCTGTTGCTGCGCCGTCGCTGGAGGTTGAAGATGGCGTCGAGCGGGTCGCAGGTCGACGGCGGCGGTTCGAGGAGCGCGTCCATGGGCACGGAAGGCAGCGACGTCATGCACGGGTCGGGAGAGGACCAACCGTGTCACGGGCGCGACGGTTGCCACTGTATAAAATGGACCAGAAGCCGACACTTCCCAAACGCATCCGGATACCGTATCCGACAATTCGAAGGGCTGCGATTGGTGGAGTGTAACCAATGAGCGGCGAAGAATCAACCATGAGCTGGCAGTCCCAAGGGTACATAATAACCTTGCATGATCCCATAAACCAGCGCGCTCCTAACGGGCCCGTGGCGCACACCACACTGGCTGACGCAACTACCCGAAGCGGCCGCGATCATCGACGAGTGCTTGGACACGTTCTTCGACTCGGTCTCGATCGGTCCGGCCGTGCCCCGCTTTTACGACAGCATGGTCAACGACATGCGCACCCAGCTCCGCCTACTGCACCGGGACCGCGTCGCCGCAGACACAGCCCCCCGACGCGAGCTCGAGCGTGAGCTCGCCGTCGCGCTGGCGGACCTGAACCGCCACCCGTGCCAAGCCATCATCGAAGCCATCCTCGACATCAAGCGGCGTCTCGAAGAACACAATGCCCAAGTTCAAGAGCACAAGACGGAAGCGGCGGTGAAACGCCACCTCGCAGAAGCCACCCGATGCATCAAGTACCACTTGAGGTCTCCGTCGATCAAGAAGCTGGGACCGGACTCGATCCACCAGATGCGCGACGCCACCGGTCAGGCTCGCACCACGCCGCGGGAGATCTCGCAGGTCCTACATGGGTTCTACACGTCGCTCTACGCCACAGAAGAAGGACCGGACGCCCACGAGGTCGACCAGTTCCTGGACTCCAGATCAAGACACGCCTCCCGACCGACATGGCCCAGCGCCTCGGGGCGCCGGTATTGGCCTCGGAGCTCTACGAATGCATCCAGCAAGCAGCGCGCCGCAAGTCGCCTGGCCCGAACGCGCTGCCGTACGAAATCCTCAAACTGGCGCCGGCCAAGTGGGCCAGCGCGCTCGAGCTCGTGTTCAACCACGCGCTCTTCGACCAGACAACGCTCACGCCGAAC